TACGAAAGAGGTATGGATGAATATAAAAAGGGTATAAAAGTGGTAGGGATGAGTATAAGATAGGTATATAAGTGGTATGGATGAGTACAAAAGAGGTATGGATGAATATAAAAGAGGTACAAAAGAGGTATGGATGAATATAAAAAGGTACAAAAGTGGTATGGATGAGTATAAGAGAGGTATATAACTGGTATGGATGAGTACAAAAGTGGTATGGATGAATATAAAAGAGGTACAAAAGAGGTATGGATGAATATAAAAGAGGTACAAAAGTGGTATGGATGAATATAAACGAGGTACAAAAGAGGTATGGATGAATATAAAAGAGGTACGTAAGAGGTATGGATGAATATAAAAGAGGTATAAAAGTGGTATGGATGAGTATAAGAGAGGTATATAAGTGGTATGGATGAGTACAAAAGTGGTATGGATGAATATAAAAGAGGTACAAAAGAGATATGGATGAATATAAAAGAGGTACGAAAGAAGTATGGATGAATATAAAAGAGGTACAAAGTGGTATGGATGAGTATAAGAGAGGTATATAAGTGGTATGAATGAGTACAAAAGTGGTATGGATGAATATAAAAGAGGTACAAAAGAGGTATGGATGAATATAAAAGAGGTACAAAGAGGTATGGATGAATATAAAAGAGGTATATAAGTGGTATGGATGAATATAAAAGAGGTACAAAAGAGGTATGGATGAATATAAAAGAGGTACAAAAGTGGTATGGATGAGTATAAGAGAGGTATATAAGTGGTATGGATGAGTACAAAAGAGGTATGGATGAATATAAAAGAGGTACAAAAGAGGTATGGATGAATATAAAAGAGGTACAAAAGTGGTATGGATGAGTATAAGAGAGGTATATAAGTGGTATGGATGAGTACAAAAGTGGTATGGATGAATATAAAAGAGGTACAAAAGAGGTATGGATGAATATAAAGAGGTAAAAAAGAGGTATGGATGAATATAAAAGAGGTATAAAAGTGGTATGGATGAGTATAAGAGAGGTATATAAGTGGTATGGATGAATATAAAAATAGGTAATGAAAGAGGTATGGATGAATATAAAAAGGTATAAAAGTGGTATGGATGAGTATAAGAGAGGTATATAAGGGTATGGATGAATACAAAAAGAGGTATGGATGAATATAAAAAAGAGGTACAAAAGAGGTATGATGAATATAAAAGGGTATAAAAAAGTGTAATGGATGAGTATAAGAGAGGTATATAAATGGTATGGATAAAAAGAGTACAAAAGAGGTATGGATGGATATAAAAAGTGGTACAAAAGATGGATGAATATAAAAGAGGTACAAAAGAGGTATGGATGAATATAAAAAGGGTATAAAAGTGGTATGGATGAGTATAAGAGAGGTATATAAGTGGTATGGATGAGTACAAAAGAGGTATGGATGAGTATAAAAGAGGTACAAAAGAGGTATGGATGAATATAAAAGAGGTACAAAAGAGGTATGGATGAATATAAAAAGGGTATAAAGGTGGTATGGATGAGTATAAGAGAGGTATATAAGTGGTATGGATGAGTACAAAAGAGGTATGGATGGATATAAAAGAGGTAAAAAAGAGGTATGGATGAATATAAAAGAGGTACAAAAGAGGTATGGATGAATATAAAAAGGGTATAAAAGTGGTATGGATGAGTATAAAAATATAGAGGCAAATATATATGGATGAGTACAAAAGAGGTATGGATGAATATAAAGAGGTGGTAATGAGTACAAAGAGGTATGGATGTATATAAAAGAGGTACAGAGTGGTATATTGGGGTTAGAAAGGAGTATGGATGAGTATAAAATAGGCATAAAAGATGTACCAAGTGGTATAAAAAAAAATACAAAGTGGTATGGGCAGCTATAAAAGAGGTATATTTATAAGCGTTCTTGCTATAAGGAAGCCAGTATCGGCAAACGGAAGTTGCAAACCCACACGTAACCCTTAACTCATATTTATCTTGCCTTCTTAAATTATACTTGTATCCTGATTCGTCAAAAAAGCCAACACCCTCTTAAAATATTAAAATTCCCATTGCCTTACTAACAGAAAATTACGTCAGATATAGTCACGTGTAGAAATACAGTACTAGACGTAATTTTAAGCTGACAATATGAATACAACAGCGTTTTCTAAATTCTTCCAGTTGCTAAGGACATTTTGTTTTGTTGTTAATAATTACTTTGTTTTAATAAATTCATTTCATTTTTGCCTTGAAAAAGTCCACATCGGACGAAACGCGTCGGCTGATATTACAGTTTTCCCTGTTTTTTTACCTTTATAAATATTGTCTTTTTTTACAGGTTAACTCTGAGAAAAAAGTTAAATATATATATATATATATATATATATATATATATAGATAGATAGATAGATAGATAATATTAGTTGGTAAATATATATACAGATGCAAAAATATAAAATATATATACATAGGTGCATACCCATACATGTATATTTTTAGAATAAAAATTCCAAGAGGAAGAATCGAGGTAGAACTCAATGTCTAGGACAGAGTAAGGATATAATAAAAAGGCTTAAACACTAATATTCCATGGTCATAATTTATTCCATTGGAATCGTAAATACGATACAATTCATCAGACCTTTTATGTAAGTATTGATCTTCTTGAAAAGGTCTGATGAATTGGATCATATTTACGATTCCAATGGAATAAATTATGACCATGGAATATTAATGTTTTTTTATTATATATATATATATATATATATATATATGTCCTTATTGTTGGAATTTTAATATATATATATATATATATATATATATATATATATATATAATTCCATTAATAAGGACATTAGTCTGATGAAGTCGTTTAGAGGATGAAATGTCTTATATTGATTTTTTCCACTTTGTCTTTCAGTTACCTATTAGTTGTTATGCCAGTAAATATCAACTATTTATTATTTCTGTTTTCGTCTGTTACTGCAATGTAATCAAATCTCGGATGTTTGGCTGATTTAATCTAGAAATCGATTATGCCATGCAATCTCTCCGTTTGCTTACAGTTCACGAATGTTCTTGATCCAGTCTTTAACTTGGTACGAAAAATTCCCACGCGAATTTCGCTTTATTTGCTCGACATTTCCCCGGCCCGGCTACCATTCCTAACCAGAGAAACTCTTATTAGAATGCACTCGAAGACAAAGTCTGGGACAGAACGCTGGTGAACCCTGAGAACCTTGTTTACGTCTTTGTTTGTCAGTATATCCAACTTCCAAGTTCAATCCGAATTACAGTGTCAAAAAAAAAAAAAAAAGTCTGTTTGTGGGGTGGGGATAAAGATTTGTATTTTTAAGATGGGCTCTATTCTTGAAATATTTCGACAGACATTACTTGTTATCGTCTATTACGGGCCCCATGACATATAAAGTCTCATGTCTGCCAGAGCTGACATTTTTTTTTTGCATAGCTAGTTTGATGTTACGTTATTCAATGATGTTTTTTAAAAATGTTTTTAGGTTTATTGATCGTATTCTTTTGGCTGTACTCACGTCGTTTCAGCTAATCCATTCTAAAACCTTCATCAGTGTTACACTTTATATGTAAAGAAATAGACTAATTTTATTCGGAATGTGTCTGTAAGAAATCTTTTTTTACCACTGAAAATTATAAACAAGAAAAAAAAAAAAAAAAAAAAAAATCCTAAAAGCGTGATCGAAGAATTTCAGCTGTTTCTTAGATGTGGAATTATTACTATTATACATTAATCTATTCAAGTATCCTCATCTTCTTTATTTTAGTCGCAGCATGAACCAGATTATATTAATTTCACTGAAGCAGGCGACATGAATTTCACTGAAGATCATTGCAATTCATATGGCCTGCTTCAGTGAAATTCCTATTGTCCGATTCAGGGAAATTCATAGCGTCTGTTTCAGGGAAATTTATATTGTCTGCTTCAGTGAAATTCAAAGCGTCTGTCTCAATGAAAGTCATATCGTTTGCTCTAGTGAAATTCGGATCGTCTGGTTCATGCGACTATAACAAAAAAGATGAGGATACTAGCCTGAATAGATCTATGTATAATTATAATAATAATTCCTCATCTAAGAAACAGCTGAAAGGTTGGGACTATAACAATCAAGATGAGGATACTAGTTTGAATAGATCAATATAATAATTATTATAATTAGTCAAACAGTAATTCTAAACTGTAATTCAAGATGCAAATTAAGAGTTTAGGTCAGGCATTAGTTGGTAATTATTTTCTCTCGGTAATGTCTGCTGAATATATTTTTCCTTTTGCAACACTACTGGAATTTCTTATCGAATATCTTCCAATCGCGGTTTTTTGATTTCTCATATTGGAAAGCCAAGGATGCAAAACGGGTGACAACATTCATGGGGGAAAAATGTTTTATGAAAAAGTATGTTTTGAAAAATGAAGAAGAAGAATGAGGAGGAGGAGAAGGAGGAAGAGGAAGAGGAGGAGGAAGAGAGGGATGAGAAGGAGGAGGAGGAGGCGGTAGAAACTTGTCAGGCAAGGATGATGGGAATAAAAGAAATATACGACTTAAATGTTCGCGAGAAGGAGGGAGAGTAGGAAGAGGAGTAGGACGAGAAAGACGAAAGGATATTGTCTGCAAAGAAGAGTAAGGAGAGACAGAAGAAAGAAAGGTAAGTTTTAAATGTTTGAGACTAGTGGGGGGGGGCATTGCGAAGGAAAGAGACAAATAAGATCAGGAATGGAGAAGAAAAAGAAGAATGTAAAAAAGAGATTTAGAATAGAAAGAAAAAAAAGTAATACTCTTCCAGAAGGGAAGTAAGAGAAGAGGCCGACGTAATAAAAAAAAAAAGAAAAAAAAAAGAAAGAGAAAGATAATGAAAGAGTAAGCGATAGAGGGCATAACCAGTATAAGAAAATAAATAAATCAGTGCACTTTCAATATATTTTCGCTTTAGTAAATTACTTTTAAGCAGCAATTTTCAAATCGAAATTTTTTGCCAGATTCGCTACGATGAACGAGTAATGAAAAAGAATGAAAGAAAGAAAGAAAGAAAGAAAAAAAAGAAAGAAAGAAAGAAATAATAAGACCTGTACAGAACAAAGCTAAATAAATGAATCGTAGAATTTTATGAGACGTGGGTTGGGGAGGATATAAAAGAGGAAGGATATGAAAAAAAGGCTGAAGATGGAGGAAAGAGTAAAAGATATGTGAACGAAAGATGAGACGTATGAAAGAGAGCATCAGTGAAAAAAAGAAAGAAAGAAAGAAAGAAAGAAAGAAAGAAAGACAGATGGAATGCAAGCAAGAAAGAAATAGAAAGACCGACAGAAATAAAGAAAGAGTGACAGAAAGAAAGACAAAAAGCTAGAAAGCAAGCAAGAAAGACAGGAATAAAGACAGGCAGAAAGAAATGAAGGAAGGGAGGAAAGAAAGAAAGAAAGAAAGACAAAAGAAAGAAAGAAAGAAAGAAAGAAAATAAGAAAGGCAGAAATAAAGACAGAAAGAACGACAGTAAGAAAGAAAGATAGAAAAAGAGAAAGAAAGACAGAAAGAAGAAAGAAAGAAAGACAAGAAGCGAGGAAGCAAGCAAGCAATAAAGAACGAACGAACGAACGAACGAACGAAAGAAAGAAAGAAAGAAAGAAAGAAAACTAGAAGGAAGAAAGAAAGAAAGAAATAAAGAAAGGAAAGCTAACAAGTAAGAAAGCAAGAACGGCAGAAAGAAAGAAATAAAAGAAAGAAAGAAAGACAGAAAGAAAGAAAGAAAGACAAAGAAAGTAAGTATGAAAGAAAGAAAACTGGAAAAGGAAAGAAAGGAAGAAAGAAAGAAAGAAAGAAAGAAAGAAAGAAAAGAAAGGAAACAAGAAAGAAAGACAGAGAGAAAGAAAGATAGAATGAACGACAGAAAGAAAGAAAGAAAACTGGAAAGAAAGAAAGAAAGAAAGAAAGAAAAGAAAGAACGAAAACGAATGAAAGAAAAGAAAGAAAGAAAGAAAGAAAGAAAACTTTAGAATAAAAAGTAAGAAAGAAATAAAGAAAAGAAATCTGCAAGAAAGAAAGCAAGAACCAGAAAGAAAAGAAATTTGGAAAGAAAGAAAAAAGACATTTCCAAAGGAAAGATTCAAAAAAGTTTCTATGAAAGAAAGAAAACTGGAAAAGGAAAGAAAGAAAGAAAGAAAGAAAGAAAAAGGAAACAAGAAAGAAAGACAGAGAGAAAGAAAGATCAGAATTGACAGAAAAAAAGAAAGAAAACTAAGAAAGAAAGAAAGAAAAGAGAAAGAAAAGAAAACCAAGAAATTAAAGAAAAAAAGAAACCAAGAAAGAAAGACGGAAAGAAAGACAGAAAGAAGGACAGAAAGAAAGAAAAGAACAAAGAGAGAAAGTCCTTAAGGAAGAAAACTCAGCAGGGTAAAAGAAAGAAAGAAAGAAAGAAAGAAAGAAAGAAATGAAGAAAGGAAAGCTAACAAGAAAGAAAGCAAGAACGGCAGAAAGAAAGAAATAAAAGAAAGAAAGAAAGAAAGAAAGACAGAAAGAAAGAAAGACAAAGAAAGTAAGTATGAAAGAAAGAAAACTGGAAAAGGAAAGAAAGAAAGAAAGAAAGAAAGAAAAAAGGAAACAAGAAAGAAAGACAGAGAGAAAGAAAGATAGAATGAACGACAGAAAGAAAGAAAGAAAACTGGAAAGAAAGAAAGAAAGAAAGAAAGAAAGAAAAAAGAAACCAAGAAAGAAAGACGGAAAGAAAGACAGAAAGAAGGACAGAAAGAAAGAAAGAACGACAGAAAGAGAGAAAAGAAAGAAAGACAGAAAGAAAGAAAGAGAGAAAGAAAGAAAGAACGAGAGAAAGAAAGACAGAAAGACGAAGTGTTCATGAGGAGAAAGCGGGAAGAAGCGTAAAAGAAAGAGAAAAGCCTATAATGAAGAGAATGGGGGAAAGGAATGATGAACATGATGGATTGGTCCGGAAAGCAAACTTGGGGAGATAAAGAAATATAAGGCGTTAATATTAAAGAGGAGAATGCAAACAAAAGGGAAGACTATGTAACGCCGAGAGAGTGAAGAAAGAGAGGAGAAAATAGTGAGGGATTTCTCTGGAAGAGAAATCTAAAAAGAACAAAAGTTGTCATGAGAAAGAATGACGTCAACCAAAAGAGAGGAGTAACGAAAGAGAGGAGTTCATAAGAGAGAGAGAGAGAGAGAGAGAGAGAGAGAGAGAGAGAGAGAGAGAGAGAGAGAGAGAGAGATGGTGAATTTATCGGGGAAAGAAACCTTGGTTAAAAAGAAAGAGAAGGTCTAAATATTCAGTGGGAGAAGGCAGAGGAGAACACAGGCGAAAGAGAAGATAATGTAAAAACGAGAGTGGGTGAAAGAGAGGAGAAAGTAAGGGTGGATTTATCAGGAAAGAAAGCGTGGGGAAAATGAAAGAAGAGGTGTAAGTATTCAATGGGAGTAGTCTGAGGAGAAGACAAATGAAAGAGAAAGTATACAACGACGAGAGAGAGAGAGAGAGAGAGGAAAAGAGAGGCGAGAAAGAAAATAGATTTATAGAAATACAAAACAAGGGAAAAATGAAAGAGACGGTATAAATATTTAATGGGAGAAGGCGGAGGAGAACACAGATGAAAGAGAAAAGTATGTAACGACGAGAGAGGGGCGACGAGAGGCGGTGATTTTTATCAGGAAAGATCGCTTGGGAAAAATGAAAGAGGAGGTGTAAATATTCAATGGATGTAGGCTGAGGAGAACACTAGTGAAAGAGGAGGATATGTAACAATGAGAAAGCGGGGAAAGGCGAGAAGAAAAAATGGTGGATTTATCAGGAAAGAAAGCTTGGGGGTGCATAGAAAGAGTAAGTATGCAATGGGAGTAGGCAGAGGGGAATGCAAATGAGGAGAATATGTAACTACGAGAGAAAAGGGGGAAGAGGATAGTGAGAGAGAGAGAGAGGGAATCGTCGGAAAAGAAAGAAAGAAAAAAAAGAAAAAAGAAAGAAAGGAAGACATTAAACGTGAATAGCAAGAAGAATGATGTCACCCTAAAACGAGTGTTACATCATTTTAGTTTCTTTTTCTCTCTCCATCAGTTAATCCAGGTTTGCTCCGCTTGAGGCCATAACGCTGATACAGTGTTGACAAAAGTTATATGACAGACTATTACAGATTTATTCAGACGATATTTGCACGCCGTAACCTGTTTGTTTGTCAAAGCCTGGCACGCAAATCTTGGAGGTGATCACGTACTATCATCTCGCATTCAACTTATGGCAAACAGCACACAGTATTAGGACAAATCTTTATCCCCCGATCTAGCATCTCGTCTGCAGTCGCTCTCGCACAGACGCGCCGTCGCCTCTCTCTCTGTCTTTTTTGACAAATACTTTCATGGTAATTGCTCCGAGGAGCTGCTTTCACTGGTTCCCAGACTCCATGAATTCAAGCGCCTTACGAGGCTGGCATACCACTCTCACCCTTTCAATGTAGCCGTCTCTTCTACTCCAATAGCTTCATGTCTCGCACCTCTCGCCTGTGGAACTCCCTTCCCTATTCCTGTTTCCTGAGAGCTATAATCCAGTTATTCAAATGTAATGTCAATCGACATCTCCAGTTGTTTGATCCTCCACTATCCTTCTCCTCATCCTTTCCTCTATCATTCCTACCTGCTCTCGATCCAAATCCTCTATAACCCCTTGCGTGCTAGTGGCTTCCCGCCTTGCTTGGGGTGAAACGCTTAAAAAAAAACAACATACATACATATATATATATATATATATATATATATATATAATACATATCTAAATACATATATATATATATATATATATATATATATATATATATATATATATATATATATATATATACACTGAAAGCTATAATTTCCAACTATTCAAATGTAATGCCAATCGACATCTCCAGTCGCCTTGATCTATCTACCATCCTTCTCCTCATCCTTTTTCCTATCACTCCTATTTGCTCTCGCTCCAAATCCTCTGTAACCCCTTGCGTGCTAGTGGCTTCCCGCCTTGCTAGGGGTGAAGTGCTTTAAAAAAAACAAAAAGCAAAAACAAAACTAAAAAAAAACTTTGCTATATTCTATTGTAAAATAGCAAGAGGTTGACATCACTTGCGACAGCAGCTCTTCGCTAGGGTACCTAGTCTTTTACAGTTGAGCTGGCAAGATCTAAACGTAAGTTCTATGCTAACAGTTTCTTTTCTCGGACTTCTTGCTTGTGGAACTCCCTTCCGGCTCCATGCTTTCAAGCCAACTTTAATCTTCAAAAATGTAAATGCAATGCCAATCGCTATCTACTGTCCTCCTGATTACTCTTTTTCCCTTTCCATTCATTATTAACGTTTCTGTTTCTAATTCTTCCACACCCTGTAGCGTTTTGTGTCTTAGTGGCTTTACTGCACTATGGAACCCGATGTATTCACAATAGATTTTGTATTAAGCAACTAACATTGGCCAAAATTTCAAGACAAATTTAGCTGAAAATATCTCATGTGTTTCAACTTCCAACATCTACGCCTATTCAAAATAATAATAATTTGCTTCAGTCGAGGTGGTTTTTTTTTTCAGTGTTACTTATTAATTACGACGATTGCATTTAGCATGAAACAGTCTGTCGCTTCTGCGTGTTCACTTCAATGTCCACTTTTATATTTACATACGCTCTACCTCTGAAACTGAACACTTTATCCCATAAATATAGCACATCTTAAAAACTATATTTCGTCAAATAAATATATATATATATATATATATATATATATATATATATATATATATATATATATCTGACGATTGCATCTAGTATGAAAACAGACTGTCGCCTTTATGTTTGACTTCTATGTTCACTTTTATATTTTTACACGCTCTATCTCTGATATTGAGCACTTTATCCCATAAATATAGCACATCTTAAGACTATATATATTATATATATATATATATATATATATATATATATATATATGTGTGTGTGTGTGTGTGTGTGTGTGTGTGTGTGTGTGTGTGGTGAGATTCTCACCATGGTCGATGATTTGTCAGGAAGGAGACATCCTGATGTTATCGGCCTGGAGGGGGGGGGACGAGCCCAGCGTGCGGCACCTTTTGGGAAGTGTTTGAAAACCATACCACCGGTTGACCCAAGCCTTGTGAGTGAAATTGGGTAGACGTAACATTTGGGGGCCGTCGATAGCTGTGCTAGCACGAAGTCACCAGTCATCGTGACCGAGCGTTTCAGTGTGCTGGTTCTGTTCAGATTGTTGATCATTCTAGTTAACACGCTCTCTCCCAGAAACTGTAACTAAATGCTGCTCAGCATAGTTGCAGTATAAACCACAGGTTGTCTCTGTGGGTGTTGAACATGCGCCTGAGTGAGAGCCAGCAATAGGGATGGGATACCCGCCCTAGTAGACGGGTCTCCCCGAATACGAGTGACCAGCTATTATTATTATTATTATAGATATACATACAGGGTGCGATGGATAAATTGTCGTC